ACCGGAAGGCGCTGGCTACTAACTTTGTAGAGGGGATGTATGGTTTAATTATATAAAACAAAAACAGAGTACATACACCTAACTTTATTATTTACATACAACAGTCTTCAAATTAAATATGTGACAAATAGAATGTACAACAAAAACATTGCAACCATTTAACATAAAATGAGAGTGCCAGGCTCACCTAGAGCTCCTGTGGGGAAAGAGCATGGCAGAGAAACCCACGATCGTTGCTCTTACCACTCAAATATAAATACAAAACAACCGCTATCCAAGGTATAAATTAAGATCCTTTGTTAATTATAACTAAGACCTGACTTATTTAATGTGTCACTAAATGTCACCTCACTCGAATCAGACATACACACTTCCAAGTAAAACTGAAGAGGTTCGTTGTTAGTTAGCCGGCAAAGCCGGAAGGTAATAATAACAACAATAATAACAACAACAACAACAATAACAACAACAATAATAACAATAGGTAAGGTACTGGAGTCCCATACGGGAGGCAATCCAGCTATAGTTGAGATTTCGAAGGAATAACAACAATAATAATAATAATAGGTAAGGTACTGGTTGTTTTTTTGTGCTTCCTTCTACCGACCGTTAATATTACTTTTTCATTATTGTGCAACACTCATGTAACAGGTGACGTCGAAGTTGATAACATAAGTACGGTTTTGCACAATATTTTACGACATGCTGTATTACAACGCGATTTTAAACATAAAAAACTTGACAATCGTATGGTAATTATATGGTAATATAGCTCGGAATATAGTATATCTAGACGAGACAGGGCTAAATCTTTCTGGACGGCTATGGATTCCGTAGAATTTATGAGTTAAATGTTTTTATCCGGTGCCAATTGAGATCGTAACAACTATAAGAGCAAGAAGCAAAAAGTTGCCATGAGAAAGTGTTCTTCTTTTTTCAATATTACCTCAAACAATAATGAAATGAAACAAAAACGGATTTCCAACATTTCGGTTTTTTTCAAATATTTCGAGAACTAATCATGTTAGCCTTGATATTTTAGAGGTATAATGTTGGTTATCAGATTACGCAACTTTGCGTAAGAGATAGGAAGTAGCTTAAATGAGGATTTAAGTTACTTCGTATCTCTTACAGTTTCCGAGATCCCTATAGTGAGAAGTTAATTTGTAACAGTCCGTAAACGTTAGACATATATAGAGGTAGTAAATATCTGATCCTTTTAGTTGCGTAATTTTATAGGGTCGTTTGGTTTATTATATAAATCATACAACTTTATTTTATCCGGTATAGGTATTTAGAACTTTGTTTAGTAGCATATGGAACTGTTGTTCTGCGGCCGATTGTATCCAGAACAAAATAACAAAGTAGTATTTGTCGCAAATAACCTTGAAATACTGGTAACTATGAAGTGTTAAAATTGTAACATAAAACTTTATAAAAACTGACTATTGACATCTTTAAATATTTTACAGGTCCTATCGAGGACAATACAAAACCAATAAAGATTTCAGCAACAGGTCAAGAAGGCTCCGTAGACTTGGACGCTAAAATAAGAAAGCCTTTAATACAACTGGAACGCATATGGGCACATTTAACAATCAAGCAACTAATACAGCAATCTTATCTGACTAGTTTACAAAGTAATCAGGCAGAATTTAAGAAGATAGCTCTTGAACTGGCACTGCAGTACAATTTGGTCACGAACGTGACCTCGTTGATTGTTGTGAAACCTAATGAAATTCTTACAAGTAATATAAAGGATGCTTCGCATGGTATATTTACGGAATCTCCAAATGATTTACCTATGTGCAACAACATACCAAGTGAGTAAATTATATTTCGGATATAATTTTCACAGCAGAATTGATATTTATTATATCTGATTTATCATACCGATATTTTTACATAACAATTTTTAAAAACCTCAGTCTAAAGGCTTTTTTTCGCGAGTGAATATCGGTATCCCTTTTAATCTTAGTTCTAACCTTGTCTAACCTGAACAGATCGCGAAAATGTATATATTCACTACCAGAATCCATCATTTTGCTGAACAATTTTTATCCTCATTCAAACAAACTGTCAAACAGAAAAAGGTTAAGTTACCGGCTGACAATATTAGATGAATATACCAACAGAATATTCAGCTGAAGGGTGAAGAGTTCAGTCATTTGATCTAAACTTGTGACGTCACATAGTAGTTTAAATGACTGACTATTCTCGCAAAAACGTAACATTCACTCATACTACACATACTACAACATACGACTTCACTCGCTAAAAAAAGCCTCATGTAAGATGTATGATACGCCAGCAACAACCGAATTTTTCATGATACAGTTCAGAAGGCGTAAAATAAATATAAAAGTAGGCATATGCTACTGCGCATTTTGCTACTTTCTTACTCTTCTCACCACTGCCACAGAGTTGCTATATTCTGCACCACTACCATGCTGTTTTGTTGTCGAGTTGCTCAGCTGTTCAGTTAAGTTGTAATAGTAAAAGAGCCCGCGGCAAAGTTTGTACCTCGTACCAAAGCTGATTTTTATACTTTTTATCGTACGTATTATCGTACTTTTTTCAGAAGCAGAGGAAAAAGAAGATATAGATTCGAGTGAACATTAAAGCGATACAGAGAAAAGTGATGTCGATGAGAGCGACGAATAAAATAATACATTTATAAAATCATTTTTTGTGCTAAATTTATCCGCACTATCCGTCTTGTCGCCCATTCAATAAAATCACATATTTTTTTTACTGAGTAACAATAAACATATTCGTATAATTTCATTTTTGCATAAAACCTTCACTTTTTTATTCTACCAAAGCTTAAATTTTACAAAATCATATGTGTGTGCATAATATTAACGAAAATAACAATCAGCTGGCTTGTATGAGGGGAAAACTCTTCAGCTGACAATGAAACTCTCGAAAACGCAGGGCCGGCCGAGCGACCCGCTACTTGCTTGAATAAAAGTTAATGACCTCAACTGAAGGCTATTCCACTAACGCGTGCTCACCTGTAGCTTGTTTTTATAACATACACGTTCTATACCATAATTAAAATCGATATCACGTTTGGTACCTACTAAATTTTTTTTAAAATGATATCCATACCTGCTTATACGCGCAACTGATGCATTTTCCAGCGGTATTTTGTCAGCTGAATGTGATTCCTTATCATTTATTGTTATAAACAAAGTATACAAACCATTTCAACTTTGGCACTATTAATGTTTTTTTGATATTTTTCAACGCTGGGGTTGGCCCTATTACTCCCACCTCCACCCGAAGATTGGCAGCTGATGGTCGTTTGGTTTATGTACCATATAAGATCTCCCAATACCTATGTGAAAATCAACCTTATAGTCCTGGCGAATTAGGCTTTTTTTCAAAAGTCGGGACTACCTCGAATTTTATGGGCTTAAAATTAAATAAAAAATTCACAGAATAAAATAAATTTGTGTATTTGTATAGAGGTATACTTATTGATTTTGTTCCTGAGGAAATTTACTGCAAGGGTAGACGAAAGTGAAAGCTGGTAATTTTTTTTACATTACAAAATTAGCGGTAAAAAAAAGCGCAAAATTTTCAGCAATATACAGATTTCAAACCATTGCATCAAATAGTGCTTAAAAAAATATGAACATAAAAAAAAGTGTCGATCGGACCAATAGGAGCCGAGATAATTTTTTTTAAACGGTATTTTGGCTGTTGTATAATATATTTTAGACTTCGACGAATTTTGCCATTTTGCTACATTCAAATCACGTGCTATACAACAGAAACAATTAACTTGAAAAATTCATCGAAGTCTAAAACATAGATATTATACACTAAATATTTATTTTAATTTTAATATTCTTATAAAAATTAAAAAAATAACTTTATCTAGTAATACAATTAATTAAATAAAATAGGGTAGAATTGAATGTAACAGTTCTTTTAAATACTATAAAATGCAGTACTTAAATGTAATGTTGATATTGTAACATTCAATAATATTCTAGACACAATTTACGCAATAACAGTTAATTTTAAGACAATATTTTATACGTCCATCTTTTCTGAGCACGCAAATGGAGTACTGACTACTTTTTTTAAAGAAATAATTGACTTTTGGTTTTAAATACGTAAAAAGACCTTCTTGTGAAAATATCGAAATCATAATTACAAAAGAAAAAGTGAAAAGTCAATAAATATGTATTTTTCGTGGTCTGGCGATGAGTTTCACAGCCTTTTGCCTACACTATCCGAAAGTGCGGAAAAAAATAAGTTGATTTAAAAAAAGCATCCCGGTAGCTGCTTTCTAAGTGCCACAATCCATTTGTTAAGTAAGAATTTTGTAAAGCCGAGCGCAGCAAGGGCACTATAACGTCACAGAGCTCCCCTCTCGTGGATACTGTTAAGCCGCGCGGATCTTGCTGCCTTTAACGAATGTTTACTTGGTCATTTCTTGGTCGAATCATTTCAAAAAAAAATCAGCGTTTAAAAGAAGTCTTCTACTTTACAACAGGCCCAAGTTTATTACAAAATATTAAATAGAACAGGCAGAATACCGTTTTTAAGAAAAAAAATTATCTCTTCTCTTATTGGTCGAATCAAGACACGCTTTTTTTAAAATTATTACTTTTTTAAAGCACTATTTGATGCAATTGGTTTGAAATCTGTATATTAAAAAATCGCCGAGAAAAGGACCCTAATTATCGCTTTTTTTTGTTTTTTGTTAATAACTTTTTTATTTTGCAACTTAAAAATCTGACGGGAGGTAAGGTAATTACCTTTCGATCCTTTTTTACCAAATTTCGATACCTTGACTTAGGCAGAAGATATACGCGCTCGCGTTTTCGACTTTATAATTTTGCAATACGCCGCCAATTTGAAATTGGTGGTCCGGATTGCGGGGATTTTAGGAGCATCCCAACAGTTATATTTTCTTGTAGTTTCATCCAATTTCAGTCAAATTCGTTCTTTTTATTTAATGCTGAAAATTCTGCACATTTTTTTGTTCGTCGCTAATTTTGCAATGTAAAAAAAAATTGCGAGCTTTCGCAAAAGCCTATCCTTAAAGCAAAGGAACAAAATCGATAGGTATACCTCATGTCGATTAGAGGCTCATTTTCGGAGATATAAGCGAAAAACTGAAAAAGAGCAATTATTTTTTGTTTGGTTATAAACAATATGACGCTCGACCTCTACAAATACACAAATTTATGCTTTTATTCTGTGTATTTTTTACTTAATTTTTAAGTCCATAAAATTGGAGGTAGGCCCGATTTTTGAAACAGGCATGTGTTTGGTCTAATTCGCCCTAATTATTAGTAAAATGACTACCTTCAAAATGCCACGGGCTCTCTATAACGGTTATAACTGCCAGTATCAATTAATAATTCCCCCACATAAGTTACCCCCCTCGTGGAAAACGGACTCTATAAATTGGTTTTTGCTCCCTTTACATTTCCAACCCCTTTAATAGTAAATAATATTTATTATTAAGTTTATTTGGAGTGCAATCGAAAAAAAAAGAATAAAAATAAGTCGATGTTGTATTCCATTAAACAAAGGATTGCGTTGCATATAAAAAAAATGTTTGGAAAAATTATTAATCATTTGTGAACTCAGATGTAAATTAGTGTTAAACTAAGAGTATTCTGTTTATCCGAACTCGTCAGTTTTTTTAACTCAGTTGAACTCTTGAACATAAACTCAAGCGGTATCTGTAAAACCATCTGAACTCTCCATGCATCCGTTAAAGATACCTATATCCTTGAATTGGCCAATAGTATTGGTTTAATCTAAAGACCAAGTATGCGCCTCATAATTTGTGGTCTATCCATATGGAACAGAAATAGCAGCCTAACTTAAATTTCTATGCGACCAATCAATGAGGAAACAGCCATACGGTAAAAAGTAAATAAATATGCTTCACCTGTTGCTAGATATATTTTCGTTAAATAAATAAATAAGCAAATAAATAAATTAATACTACTTTTTCTTTTTATCTCTAGATTGGGTGGCATTGCGCTTTGGTACACCTGAACCTATATATATGAAGGTTGCAACAGAGATGACGACTGATGTAATTACTACTAATGATGATACTATTGCTGCCACAATCCATGCCGTCGCTACTACTACTCCTGATACTATTACTACTTCTACTACTGATGATACTATTGCTGCCACAATCCTTGCCGTCGCTACTACTACTCCTGATACAATTATTACTTCTACTACTGACATTACTACCACCTCCACTACCGATGATGTTACTACTACTTCTACAACCGATGATTATACAACTACTACTACCGATGTTACTAGTACTTATTCTACCGATACTGTTTCTAGTACTGATACTATAATTCTAACAACTGAGCAAAATATTCCTGTAGCTAAAGCCAATATTATTACCAACAGACAGCCAACAGAGTTAACGCCATTAATTGAAGAAGTTCCTATAATTTACAGGATTACGAAAACATGTAGAGACATGAGATTTGGATGTTGTCATGATGGAGTTACTCCAGCTGTGGGAATCAACTTTTCAGGGTGTGACCCCATTCCCAGATCAGGTAACTATACATATAGGAATACAGTGCTCGACCATAGACGTCTGGGATCAAAATATGACAACTTAGACCAACATAGCGTCCGCAAGCGAGTGGGCCATTCTTTAAGAATTTTTAAGCTTAAACAAGTTACGGGCCTTATTTTATTTGGTTGTTTAAAGTAACTCTGCTACTTTTTTGGACATTTCAACAAAATTTAGTATAGTCAAAGATTAACACATGTTTTTTTTCTTACCTTCAGCGTTGAGGTCACTACGGCATACCTGAAGCAGTAGGTATTTTGGTTTTTGCAATTTTTTTTACCAGATTTCGAAACCTTGACTTAGGCAGAAGATATACGCGCTCGCGTTTTCGACTTTATAATTTTGCAATACGCTATTCCAATTTGAAATTGGAGGTCCGTATTGCGGGTACTTGTTGAGCACCCCAACAGTTATCTTTTCTTGTAGTTTCATCCAATTTCAGTCAAATTCGTTCTTTTTATTTAATGCCGAAAATTTTGCACATTTTTTTGTTCGCCGTTAATTTTGCAATGTAAAAAAAATTTGCGAGCTTTCGCAAAAGCCTGTCCTTATAGCAAATTTCCTCAGAAACAAAATCGATAGGTATACGTCATGTCGATTAGAGGCTCATTTTCAAAGATATAAGCGAAAAACTGAAAAGGGAGCAATTATTTTTTTCTTTTGTTATTAACAATTTGGTTGTTTTAAAGTAACTCTGCTACTATTTTGGACATTTCAACAAAATTTAGTATATGCAGATTTTTAAGGTAGTCGAAGATTAACACATGTTTTTTTTTCTTACCTTCAGCGTTGAGGTCACTACGGCATACCTGAAGCAGTAGGTATTTTGGTTTTTGCTATTTTTTTATCAGTGGAAATTTTGGTAACACAGCTGTTTTATGTAACGTGTGCCTATATCTTTTTAAATGCCAATAGCAAGTTCAAATGAATTAAAAAAAAACACTCAGCTGTCTGTAATTGCCAATAGCAGTAGAACAGTGAAATTCTTATTTTTGTGTAATGATTTTAACAATACCTACTATGAAACAAGTATCTTTTTCCTATCTTTTTTACATATATAAAATAAGGTTTCATAAATCCTGCAAAAAAAGAAATAATAGGCTGCTTTCGGTATTCTTTCAATCATTTTAGGTAAGAAATAAGACCATCCATTTTCGACTATGCCAAAAATCTTATCTTATAGCACATTTCATTAAAAAGCTTTCAAAAATTTTTTATTTAAAAAAATAAAGAAATGTTTGTGAAATTTTTTAGAAAGTAAACATCATCTAAATCAGGTTATTTTCATCGACGCAATGAAGCGATCTTTAAAATAGGGTCCATTTATTTCCAAACACCTTTTATACAGTGTGTTTCAGTTCGAGTGAATCAAACTTTAACCACAAATAGAACTCAATAAATAATTCAGAAATGCCTTATAAAGCAAGGGTCTAAGTCTCACCGTTTTCACTGTACAGGGCCGTATTGGTTGGTTTTTAAAATCATATTATTTATGAAATCTTTGCTTTGCATATAACAAATTGATTCAATTGATATTAAAGACAGTCGTTGCGGACGTGAATTCATTATTTGTTAAACGCGTGATAAAATTGGATAAAATCATTTTCGGCTCTTGCTTCTTTTTGTTTTTAATCGAGTTGGCGAAAACGCTCAAGCTGCTCAAGCTGACTAGAAAATTTGTGCCGTACCTATATGGTAATGATGCGATGAATCAACGAACAGCCCATCGATGGTTTTCCGCGTTTTAAAGAAAGTGATTTCAACCTTAAATACATAAATCATTCCGGAGTACCTGTTGAATTTGACGGAGATCAATTGAATCGACTCCTTCACGAAAATCCAAGACAATTAGCATGGGAATTGGCACGGGAAACGGGATGTGATTACAAAACAGTAGTAAACCACCTGCATTTCATGGGAAAACAATAGGAATCAACGCTCCGCAGTTGCCACTAGTTTGCTCTGTCGTCATCAATCAACACAAGGAACGTTTCCTTCATCGTATTGTCACTGGTGGTGCAAAATGGTGTCTGTACGTAAGCTTGAAACCGCGGAAAGAATGTTTAAGCTCCAAAGGACAAGCAACTCCGCGAACGGAATCAGAACTTCATACCCGAAAGACAATGTTATGCGTCTGGTGGGACTGAAAAGGCATTCTTTATTACGAACTCTTACCAAACAATCAATCAACTGTCAACGCAGAACTCTCCAACAACTACGGCGATTCCACGTGGCTATTCAACAAAAAAGCCCTTATCGGCGTTTATTAAGAAAATTGTTGTTTGTCAGAAGCTTTTGCTGACCTGAGAATAAGAACCAACAAAGCAAAATTTCCTTAGAATCTGTTCGAAATTTGGGCCATTTTAAAATTAAAAAATTCAAACAAAAGTTAACTATCCCAACAAGACTGCGAAAAGTGAAAATAAAAGTTATTTGTTGCAATCCAAAAAAAGTTCTTTTAAAAAAGCAAACCGCAAGGTCACAGATGCAACATACCTATCTATTAGTTTATTTTTAAAATATATGTAAACTCACAAAGTAAACTAATGGTGTGAATTGATTAAGGACAACTCCAAGCATTGCTTTACTTTTATAGAGAGCTGTTCACTTCCATTAAGTCCTGGAAAACCACTGAAGAATGTACGCCGTGAATGGGCTTATAGTGTGAAAGAAGGCGAATGTCGTACATTCTGGTATTATGGATCTGGGGGTAATGATAACCGTTTTGTCAATCAAAGTGATTGTCAAAGAACTTGTATTAACGTCATTGGTCCTGGTAAGTAGAAGATCGGTATAGATCAGAATAAATATCGTAAATATAAAATACAGGGTGTAACCCAGCGCATTCTGTGTCAAATGTAATAATATATTTTTTTCATATAAAAATCTTTGTCTTTGGACCTCTTTTAAAGTTAAAAATAATATTTTATCTCTAAATGCCAGAGCAAATGAGAATATATTATATTAATGTTTGCAAATGAAATTTTCACATTGAATTCCATTTTATTTACAAAATTTCCCTGCAATATGAAAAAATAAATTTTTTTCAGTTAAAGACAACATTACTAATTTAAAAATAATACGATGTTTTGACACTTTATCCATATTAAGAATAAGGGGATTCCCGAAGAAATGTAGGTGTTCATATTTTTTACAATTCAAATTGATTTTTTCCCTTCGTGCAAATTTCGATTATTTTGATGATCCACTGCAAATTTGTTACAGAAAAAGCTTTCTCACATAATTTCATTTTTCTGTTTTATTTAGACCTGCTGAAAATATTTTCTTGTGTTTTTTAGTCATATTATATTAATTACACAGCCTCACAAAAAAAGTTCTGCACCAGAACATGAATACATAGATTTTGTATATTTTTTGATGCTGAATCGGAATCCGCAGCCCAAAAACCCGTTTACCAGATCGTTTTTAGTAAAATGCTAAAAAATTATCTAAAATAGGGTGAAATAGTGAGTATAAGGTAAAGCTATTTATAATGAAGTGCAACAATCTGTAAATACTTTGAGAAAACATTTTAAAGTAATGTTTTGAGTATTAAAAGTATTAAATTCACACCCGTCCCTGCAAAGGGGTTAATTCCACCCCTAAAATCAATGTTAGTCAATGTCAATCAACGAATGTCAGTGCAAAACAAAGTGAAAAACCATAGCCTTGTATTTTATACTGACAAATAAATAAACATAGCAAATCGAATTTATATTATTTGTTTCTCATTTTTAGACATTTGCCTACACTAAAAAAAAAGTATTTGGATCAAATGAGCAAATAGTTTTAAATGGAATTATTCACCGTAAATGTTATTTTATTCTATTCACATGTAGGTATATACTTTCTTCAAACTATGTGAAATATTTGCTGTAATCTATAATTTTTCTTAGCATTTATATTATATGTAAATATATACAGGTATGATTTAATTCAAATCTTTTACAATTTTGAAATTTATTATCTCGGACATTAGCTACAATATCTCTTACAGTTCATCATAAACTGCAAACATATTTGTTTCGAAACTACCAGTTCCTTAAAATATATTTAGATATATATTTAAAATTTAGTATTAATGTAGGAATTGTTCAAGACAAATCTAGCATATTATAATCAAACTTATGTTTTCTTGAAAGAAAATTGTAGCAGGACAGAATGGCGTAGGTGGGAAGTAGGTACCACGATAGATGGAGCCACTTACGTTCTATGTATACACAGCTCTTTGTAAGTAACGACACTATAGCAGCTGGATATTCTAAAAACATAAAGATGAGGGCCATCAACAAGTCCCAAACCGACCTATGTCTGGTTGGTTAAACTTACAAACGATCCTAGCTGTTGTACTAGGTGTTGTGAGTTTGAAACAAAATGTTTTTTATTACTGAGAAATATTTATATCCAAATTCCAAATATTATTCTTAAAATAAGTATACAGGTTCGGAAAGTCCCCATGGTACATCGGCCGTTACGTGAGAGCGATAAAGTAAGTCATAGAAATCCGTGCGATAGACAAGGATGGTTACATGGAAGTCGTTTCATAATCTGAATAGTCACTCCCACTTCTAACCCGAATCGGGCGGTGACTATTCAGATTATGAAAGTCTTCACTGTAGCCATCCTTGTCTATCGCACAGATTTCTTTACTTTACTTTGTCGCTCTCATGTAAAGGCAGATGGACCATGTGGATTTTCCAACCCTGTATATAATCATTTTACCAAACTATTCAATTTTGTATTAAATAAACATTAAATAAACGATACATTAATATACAATAAAAAACATGTTTCTATAAAATCTATGTAGATCATAAAATTAAAAATAGAATTCGTTTAACCGTAAGTATCAAATATTTATTTTAAATGCTGCCTATTTTTAAAGTAAGAAATTAAAATCAAATGTTGTACAATTGAAGCAAGAAATTTTTTTTTTGCATGAATTTTTTTATCAAATGGCTCAATTTTTTAAACGTTCATAATGCATTTCTTTGGGTGGTAAACATCAATTTCTATACTACTTTTCAATCTGCCATAATGAGCCCGTCATTTTGGATTTAAGCGCCAGCTGCCTTAGATTGAATGTGTTGAAAACGACATAACATTTTTGTACTTTAAGGTATCTCATCTTTGGTATCAAATTCTTATTTTCCAAACTTTTTTTACACACAAAAGGTAAACTTTATGAAAGTAGCTGTCTCGCACCGTTTCCGAGATATTTAGCTTTGCAACTTCCAATGCTAATAGTTGAAATAATTAAAATAATTTAGAAATTTCAAAAACAAGGGTTTATTTAGAATTAAAAATTATAATGAACAGTAAAACAGTCAACATTAGTAAAAAATATGCCTTTTTGACAATAAATGCTCAAAATGTCCGCCTCTAACTTCAATACATTTATTTTATCAACGCGCTTATTAAAAGATTGTCTTATTTTAAATTATAAATCCTTAACGCGAAATGACTTTGCAGCATTTAAAACCTGCTGCTAAAGTTCTTCTCAGGTGTTTATAGTTTCTCCATAAACAACTGATTTCATGTAACTCCAAAAACGAAAATCTCGGCATTCTATCTCACATTTATGTATACGAGTATACAATTTAAATTGTAAGCTAAGATGTAATTTTAATTAGGTACGAATAATACTTAATAGAAATTGGCGTACAAATGATAGCAATAAGACAAGTGAAAAAAGTAAATTATTTGATTTTTGTCTAAATCCTACTTAATAAACTTTACCACTAAATTAATAATACTTGTAGGTACTTAATTATAATTTAATGCAACAGCATTGGAAGTTTCAAAGCCAAATATTTCGAATACGGTGCGAGATAGCTACTTTCATAAAGTATACCTTTTTTGTGTAAAAAAGTTGGAAAATAAGAATTTGACACCAAAGATGAGCTACCTTAAAGTACAAAAAAGTTATGTCGTTTTTAACACAATCAACCTACTGCAGCTAGCGCCCTCTATGAACTTTAACCAAAATGTGAACAGATTTCAATTCTTCTACTTAACGAACTCCACTCCCCAAAATTTTGTGAGGATATTTGCATTTGTTAAGGAATAAATGAAAAAAAAACTGAAATAATATTTTACATTGAATATCCTGTATCTCTTTAACTATCAACTTTTGGACTAAGGTAAGTTCGGCTAAATCGCAATATTTTTGCTTGGGGTATCTACCCATGAATTTTGGCCCATTATCTCGGGACCACCCTGTATATTTGGTAGTATAAAATACCTGTACATACAAGGCAATGGTTTTTCACATTGTTTTACACTAACATTCATAGAGGTGGGATTAACCTCCCCCTCGCAGGTGTGGATGTTGATTTATTTTGCACATATTACTTTCTGATGCTCAATATATTATTTTAAAATGTTTTCCCAAAGTATTTATAAACTGTTACGATGTATGCCATCCGAGCACTCGCATTTGTTCGTGACGTAAATGGACAGGGAAAAAGAGGGAGTACAAACAGTATTGTATTGACTGTTGCTAGGCGGTTGCTAGGAAAACTGTACGATTTTTTTACCAAGCTGTGCGATTTTTTTACCGTACGTAATAGGAATTTTACATTGATCGCAGACGGTGTGTTTTTAAGTATTTACAGTAGTGGTCGTAGGTAAATACTTTTACCTACGACCACTAGTGTAAATACTTAAAAACACACCGTCTGCGATCAATGTAAGATTCCTATTACGTACTGTAAAAAAATCGCACAGTTTTCCTAGCAACCGCCTAGCAACGATCAATACAAACAGTATTTTTTTACCAAGCTGTGCGTTTTTTTTACCGTACGACGGAATAGGAATCTTGCATTGATCACAGACGGTGTGTTTTTAAGTATTTAAAGTAGTGGTCGTAGGTAATAGTATATTACGTAATAAGTGTTGTAAAAAGCATTTTACGCACGAGTGGAAAAGAAACACACCGTCTGCGATCAATGTAAGATTCCTATTACGTACGGTAAAAAATCGCACAGTTTTCCTAGCGATCGCCTAGCAACGGTCAATACAATACTGTTTGTATTGACCGTTGCTAGGCGGTTGCTAGGAAAACTACAATTTTTTTACCAAGCTGTGCGATTTTTTTTTACCGTACAACGTAATAGGAATCTTGCATTGATCGCAGACGATGTGTTTCTGAGTATTTAAAGTTGTGATCGTAGGTAAAGTATAGTACGTAATACGTGGTGTAATGCAATTACGCACTCGCCGCTACGCGGCGTCGTGCGTAACTTTTCCATTCGTGCGTAAAATGCTTTTTACAACACTTATTACGTAATATACTATTATTTACTAACTACAAGTAGCTGCACGTAGCTGCACAATAGTAAGGAGTGATCTCGTATCCGAACTGACTTTTAAATTTCAATAAATACCTTACCAATCACAAGTGATGTATCATTAAATCATTGATCAGAAATATGCATGTGCAGGAAACTTATCTCTATTGGAGGTAGTATTCAACATACCTGAGATAATTAAAAAAATATTTACCCTAATTCATTTGATATAGCAACATTAATTGGGGGGTTTTGCTCAGTGAGGCACTGTAAAATTAATTTTATTCGTAGATAAAGTCATTACTTCACTAATAATATTACTTTTATTTAAAAAAAATACTTTATGCATATTAAGCATAAGAGAATTCCCGAAGATAAGTAGGTACTTATGTCTTTATTTTTTAATTCAAATGTATTTTTCCCTTCGTGCAATATTTCGATTACTCCAATTTTTAATGGAGCAACCCGTTGAAATAATTTCACAAAGCTCATGTGTTTTTTTCAGATAGATGTAAATTACCTTTATTTACCGGACCATCCCAAAAAGCTTGCACAACCACACCAAAAGTACGTTGGTTTTATGATCAGAACAAAGACAAATGTATCAGTAATACCTATTTTGGATGTTTTGGAAATTCAAATAGATTTTCAACTGAAAGGGAATGTCTAGAACTTTGTTCATCTTCGTTTAAGAGAACACAACTGCAAAGTAAGTTTCAACGCGTTACTACGAAAACATGCTATCTAAAATTGTACTTGGAAAAGATGCTATCTAAGATTGTGTGTGGAAAACATGCTACCTCAGATTGAGCTGGGAAAAAATGCTATCTCAAATTAAACTTGGAAAACATGCTAGCTGAGATCTTTAAGAAAAAACATGCTATCTCATATAAAATTAAGTATGACTAGAAATTTAAGTTGGCTGCATTGGCGTTGAAATGCACATTGAATGATTGAAACAGTGCACTTATAATAAACTTATATAATATATTTTTCAAAAAGTAAGGAATATTTATGTTCAGGTACACTGTTTATTTTATTTTTTTCATTAAACATTTATCAATTAATTTTGTTAACTTACTGTTATAAACGACAAAATGGTTAATTAAATAAGTAGAATAATATGGAGTGTGCTGCAACACGTATTACCCGACGTTTTTTGAAATAACAAATTATAAAAAAAATAGTGTTTACCTTAATATATAAAAATTACTAAAAATTATTCGGGTTTACTTACACACGTTTACTTTGATATAAAACTTAATAGCGCACTCTTATCTGATTTATAGTCACTACTCTTGATACACTTATTATTTTTTTTCGCCAAATCTGGGAATCTGAAAATAATTTTATATGCCTATTGCCAACTCTAAGGAAATTGCAATAAAAAGGATTACGTAGTGGATCAGGCTAGTAGCTTGATTGTTTTTTTTTAAAGTCATTTCATTGAAATTTTGTATAGATTTAGGTATTATTATTTTGTCTTATACGTCAATCCACCACGTTTGATGTCTATGATTCCCCACATTCTAAGAACTCATTTTCTTTAAACTAGAGCACACTGTATTACATAATAATTACTGTCATTTTTTTAATGTGCTCTAAATATTGACAATAAATGTTAATACTAATTTGATAAAAAAGGTCAAAAATACTACTACAGACAATGTTTCAGGAAATAAAAAAACTTGCGAGGTGACGAAATTTGGATGCTGCCACGACAGAGTTACTCCAGCAAGAGGATCCAACTACTCAGGATGTGATCCCATACCAAGACCAGGTGACATTATCATTCTCAAAATTGACGGTTGTGTTTAAATACACTTTATTTTTTACAATCCATTTGCTTATCGGCTTCCACATTGTATTTATTTTATCATTTCTATCGACATTTTCAATTCTATTTAAATTCATTTAAATTCTCGATATTTCTGTTGTGACTTTTGTCTGAAAAAGGGATTCCAAATCATAAAAGAATTCAATATTTAAAATTAACTATTTCTTACACCCTGAAGTCAATGGATTTTTATATCGATCATAAACTTATACAAAAAGAATAACTCTAAACATAAAGACCTTGAATTTCAAATTTACAACCTTAACCTCAACTACTGGCAATAAAAACTCTTAATATTACTTTAAAAAGCTATCGTTTTATAAATTTCAGATGAAAGATCGGCGCATATAGGGAAACATTGTTAATAAAACTGTTTTATTAGTTTTATTATTTGAAAATATTACTGTATGATTCGATAAAGTTGTGTTTCAATCACAGAATATTTATACATAATTCATTGATTTCAATGTGAATAAAATTAAGCTTTGACATAATGTAGGTACCTCTTATTTTTCTACCTCACAATGTTTGAAGCTGTAATGACAAATTTTATAACTGCAAAGTGTAACAAATGTTCGGTCGTGAACACTGGACGGAGAGTTGTTCCAATTGGAGTAAATTTGGTATAGATTGAACTTTCAATCAGAAGCTGGAAATACCTACACACATACAATAAACTAATTTTTACAGCCATGTGTACATTCAAATAGTGATGTAAAACATAAATTGTCTTAAAATCGAATGTTATACATAGATTGACTAAACTATATGAAATATTGCAGGAGATGAGATTATAATATCCAGTTTAATAAAATGAGATGGCCAATTTGACAACAGGTCTGATACGAGAATACTGTTCAAAAAATAGAAAATTGCAAATATCTCAAAAGTAGTAACGGCATCCCTAATAATGATTATATGGCTTGAAAGGAAATTTTAATCTGCATACAACAGAGTAAAGAAATATAGGGTGTTCCATATATGTTAACAAAGTTATAGCTGTTTGAAGTTAACAAAATATAACAGCAAAAATGAAACACCTAGTATTAAATGTTTTAATTTGTTGGTATACCATAATTTAGTATTACCTATGCCCTTTGCAGGTATCAAAAATGCATCACGCTCGTGAAAAGAGTTACTAGCATCTCCGCGGACTAGAGACCGACCGATTAATCGGCTTCAGCATCGGCTTCGGCCACATTCGGCCATTATTTAAGCGTCGACCGTCGAATACCCGTTGCCCGTTATGTTTTATGTTTATTATTAATAATTAATTTGTTGTTTTATTTATTATTGTTTATTATATATATATTATAGTTCCAAAACATTGTGCATTTTGTGCATTTGACCTAATTTTATGTAATCTTATCATATTTTTGTTTTTAATTAAAATTTTCAAGTTAATAAAAATATCTGCGGCTTCGGCATCGGCTTCGGCTGAAGGTGTCCAATAAACCGAAGTTCGGTCTAAAAAATCACATTCGGTCGGTCTCTACCGCGGACCCTTGCATCTGTCAAATTTTTTCTTTAAAAATTAATATCTCAAAATCTATAACTCCTATAACGAAGTTGGTGT